AAGAGCTCTGCGAAGAGTGGGATCCCAGCAGCAGAAAATGAGCAACCAAAAACCTGAGCGAAAAGCTGAAGAGCGAAAGCTAGGCTCTCAAGCAAGGGGCTAGGATAAAGAAGAGCGTGCACGACTTTCCAACTCGGGGGGGGGCTTATATAGACACCCACCATGCGGCTCGTGCCTCGAGGAGCCAGCGCGACGGTTCGCATAATCGCCGCGATGATTTGTCTTTCGAGAAACACTAACCAAGGAGTGAAAACCGAAAAAATAGAAAACAACTAATAAATAAATAAATAATAAAATAAAATAATGACCACCGCTGCGAATCCCCACCCTTCGCCGGGCACGGCCTCCGAGCCCCATGGTGCATGGCTCATGTGAATGTGAAAGGCGCCCTCGCATAGATCGAAGCCTCTCCACACGGTGCCAAAGGGCTAATGTTGGGGGCAGGCCCCACCTCTGGGCGCCCCGTGGGGCTCATTCGCCGCCCCATCAACGCCCTACTAAGGAACATAGCATCTCGCACGGGCGAAATGAAGAATGCCGAGGGCTAGAATGGTCTCGGCCTATCGACGCTCCTGGCCTTTCGCCGAATGCGGTACGGCGGGAGAGGAAGAGAGCCGGTGTCACGGAGTTCTCATCTCGTCAAAGCGAAGCAATAGCGGCGCCAGCCGCCCTATTTCATGATATGCCTGCTCTGTTTCCCTTCTCATCAGAGCGAAGTGGCGGGTCCAGGGGTAAAGGTCCACCCGTACCCCGCGCCTAGCTCAACTCTTTTCACCCTAGCGAAAAGAGGGACCTGACTTGAATTGGCGCGGTCAGGGGCGTGGAGTTGGAGTGAAGCATTGTTAATGGTTCGTTTAGTCGCTGTTGCAGGTTTCACCACTAGAGGAATCAGCCACCCTGGCATGGCCGACAGCTTCTGCCACCATGGGCCCACTCGGTCGATCGAGGGGGCAACATGAGGCAAGGCTGGTCAGCTCTCCCAGGCCGGCGCTACCCGAGGCAGGTGGTGACTCCAAATGGCGAGCAAGCCCATGGCACCATGGAATATTCCTCGAATGTATAGCAGTTGTAAGGGCATTTTGGTCCCAAGAAAAGCCTGTGGGCGTATATAAATAGCCCCGTTGGGGAGTGTAAAAGGGAGAGAAGAAAACAAGGTCAATAAAATTACCCATCTTGTTCCGCTCGTGTTTTTCCTTTCATCTCGCTCCACTCCAAACTTAGCTCGTGCGGTGACCGGTGTTCAAAGGCTTAGGCCTTGAACAACAATGTGGTATACGCCGATTCACCGACAACTAGTGAATCAACATACCTAATCTTGCCGTGCTACCCGAGCAGTAGAGGATTGATCACCCTGTGCCCAGCTCAACTCTTTTCACCCTAGCGAAAAGAGCGACCTTGACTTGAATTGGCATGATCGGGGGTGTGGAGTTGGAGTGAAGCACTGTTAATGGTTTGTTTAGTCGTTGTTGCAGGTTTCGCAACTGGAGGAGTCAGCCGCCCTGGCGCGGCCGATAGCTTCTGCCGCCAAGGGCCCACTCGCTCAATCGAGGGGGCAACATGAGGCGAGGCTGGTCGGCTCTCCCAGGCGGCTCTACCCGAGGTAGGCGGTGCCTCCGAATGGCGAACAAGCCCATGGCACCGGGGAATATTTCCCGAATGTATAGCAGTTGTAAGGGAATTTTGGTCCCAAGAAAAGCCTACGGGCGTGCCAGCGCGAGTTCAATCGACTTGGAGGTGTGGACCTAAACATGATCCGACTCGTGAATGTGGTGACGCTCTTGTGTACTATCTCAAGATCGGACAACGTGGCGGGCCTGCTGCTGTATGAGCATCTTTCCAACGGCAGCCTGTACGAGCGGTCGAAAGCACGGGGCCATCGCCAGGAACATGTTGTTCATCTTAAGGTCCGTCAAGCTCTTTATCGCAATTGCCATCTGGTTCTCCATGGTATCAGCACGCAGCCCCCTACCTGGCGCGCCAATTATCGATGAGATATCACCGACGGTCCACCGAGAGGTATACCCACAATGGTAAATTGTATGAAGAGGTGCGCGTGAACAGGAACTAGATGGTAACAGAGACACAAGATTTAGACAGGTTCGGGCCGTCAATATGATGTAACACCTTACGTCCTGTGTTTTGTTGGTTTGTATTGATTGGATGATCATGAGATAACCCTAGGCTAAGCCCAGGATCTGTATTTGGATCTAGATGGCGACTAGGGGACCCTTGCCCCTACTTGTATAGTCTGGAGGGGTAAGGTTATAAGGAAAGTATCCTAGTTGGCTATATTGTAGGTATTCTATTTGGATTTCAATATCTATAAGAATCCTATTAAATCATATCTTCTACCATCTTGTGGTACCAGGGGTATATCCCCAACACTACGATGCTTGTTACTCTCTCCATTTTTTAAGTGTCGTAGTATTTGCCTTAGCTACACAAACATGAGATAAAGCACCTCACTGAGATGGTGCTGGGGTTCAATTTTGTTAGTTGCTCCTTCAAGATTAGGTGGCTTATATACAATCTTGAATCTCTCATTGTCAAGAAGCATATCTGCATCCCTTGATCGTGAGGGTTGCAAGATGGAATGTAGAGCACCTCACTGAGGGTGAAGTTTTGTGAGGTGTTGCGTCGTTCTTGGTCTCCAGGTCCGCGGCTATTCCTTACCGCCGGTGGAGTGTTGGTTTGTATCTAAAAATGGCCGTATGATACGGCTTTGTTATCTCATACCTGGCAGCGCCTCGGCGGCAGTTTCTCCCACAAGAAAATTGAACCAACAAAGAAAGAGAAAGAGATGAACGAAGAGATTCATGCGTCAATACAGTTATGGGCGCACACATAATAAGAAAACTAAAATGATAATAAATCAATGGACAGGCATGATAATTAAGCAAATTCTCATTGTCATCATAATTAACATAGCATAATTAAGATAATTACATGTTTGCTACTCAGACTCCCATCTTATCAGCCACCTCCTTGGAGGAGGCCTTCATGATGCCCGACAGTTTGTTCAGATTATCGGTGAGTAGGTGAAAAGCATAGGCATAATTGGGCACTTTCTCCTCCTGTGGCCTGCTGACGGTGCCTAGACCGAGCTCCATTAGCACAGCGTTCATCCTCCAGTAACTCTTCTGGAAGAGGCTTAGTGCCCACGCATCGCCATATTCAATGGGATCGAACAGATCTTCATTGACGCCGTTGGGCATGGCTTCATCCTCCGATTCATCCGTCAATGCGCACTTGGATTCATCCTCCGATTCATCTGCCTGTGCGCTTGGCTTCTGGCACAAATTCCTCCTATGTCCTACAAGCTCTATATTAGCAAACTTCGAGGGAACAATAATCCTGAAAAAAAGGATGCACTGTATATCAAAACAAAATGGCTGGTAAGTCTCCATATACTATGTTACTTTTGGATGCAATATATATGTTCCTGTCCCACTAGATTATATTTTCATACGCAACACGATGCATCAACGTAGTGCCACAATGTGGATATTACGTGTGTGAGTTCATGAAGGCAAAAGGGAGATACCAGAGACACCCCAAGAGGGCAAGCAGATACATACTTTACTTCATCGTACTAGTTGGAGGATATATACATATATATAAGTTATACAAAAAAGTCAATTTGAATTTTGTTTCATGCAGTGGCCTAAGGAGTTTCCTATTGAGAGCAAGGAAATCAAATACGACGACCTACTGGAGATCGTTAGCGACATCTGCCAGTTTATCTTGGATGACATAGTACACGTGAACGGCAAATTCCATGACCGAAAGTCTGTGATAGGACGTCAAAAAGATTGTAGACATCTTCGGCAGTGGCAGGGTTTAAAATTAGGTTATTGATGACATTGTAGCTACAACGTAACATTATTAATACTCATGTGGCATATGTTCCATGGTTTTGAACATATTAATCCAATGATAAGTATTTTTTGTTGTGTGTATATATGTTTATGTTTGCGCTGGAATCACAAATTCTGTTTGAATTTTGGCGAGAAATTTTCAAAGAATTAGCGGAAAAGTTGCATACAGTAGCCTCTACAGATTGTTTTATAGAGGTGGTTGTTGTCTCCAGCCACCTCTACAAACCATATTTTTAGAGATGGCTGGGCACCCACCTCTACAAATAGGTAATTTATAGAGACGGAAAACTAGATGTGGCTGGTATACCCGCCTCTATAGAGGCATAACAGATGCCTCTATGAGGGATGTTTGAGATTTTTTTTCTTTTTTCTAGGTTCATTAATTAATTAATTTAAAAACAATGACATGATTTATTTGAGGTATTACCTTCTATTAAGTAAAAGGAGTACCATAGCAATCTTCTTATCAATTTTGGTTTGAAAAGTAGAAGCTAAAACAAATAGGATTCTTTTAGAGTGTTGTTCAAAAATAAACAAGTCAGACTCTCTCTTGTCTTACTGGTGTGTGACTGGATTTCGTTATTATTTATGGTTTATTTTTGTTATGTACGTGGGTGTGAACAGTGCTAAGCAGAGTCAATTAGATAATCTGACTAGTTTGGAAGAGATTGGGAGATGTTTCTGTCGGGTGTTGAGTAGCTAAACCTGCAGAAGTGAGCCCCAGCCGCCAAATTGGGCATTATTCACTATTTCGAATCCAACAAGGGGAGGGGCATGCCAGATTCCTATGTATAGCTCCCAATTCAGCAATTTGAAGCTATTCGCCTGACATCAAAATACTTCTGATACTACGATGAAACATTTGATGCGGATAACAAAAAAGAGGTAGTGCATACATATGTATATGCATTATATTACGGCGCAAAAGGCCCTGATACAACACTCACCCCTCTATAGATTATTATTACAGTGCAGAAAAAAGGCCTGCTTAATTAATCATTACTACTTTCCTCCGTGTGTCTCCTGATAGAAAGCATGCATGCATGGACGTGCAACCATTCTCCAGGATATATATCAGGTGACTCCGTCAGAGCGGCCGCCGGAGCTATATATGCTACACGGCTACACCCAGAGCGCGCCGGCATTGCGCAGAAGCGGGACGAGGTTGCTGCTGAGGTGAAGCGACATCACCTTGTCGGTGGAGCCGACGAGCCTGCCACCGATGAACACCGCCGGCACCGCGGGGTTGCGGCCCAGCAGCCTCGCCAGTGCCTTGTCCATCTCCTTCCCCCTGGGGTCCTGGTCCAGCTCCACCACCGTCGGGTTCACCCCGAGCTCGCGGAACAGGCGCGTCACCGTGTGGCACATGCAGCAGGAGCTCGTGCTGAAGATGACCACCGCACGCTGAGAAGCCAGCTTTGTCACCCGGTCCATTGCTATATGATCTTTGCGATCGGATTCGCGAATTAAAAGGAACTTGAAATAAGACTTGGAAGAGAAAATTGTGGGCGAGAGTGAGCTAGAAGAGCCACTTGTAAGATGCTTTGAGTACTTGTTGTGCTTGCTTACTTGCTTAGAACTGGTGACGGGAGGAGGCTGGTTTATATAGGCATGGAAATGTGCATTGCCAATGCCAGCAATGGAGGGATTTTGCAGCGATCCTGATGACTGGCGAAAGGTGGGTGATACCGGAGTGCCTGAATAATGGCCAAGCCACTTTCTTGCGACACCACAGATCGGTTTAGTGTAGAATATGGAATATATGGACGGCTGCAACAGGATACGGAGATGGTCGTCCATGCATATATGTTGATAAGGTTTGGGACTCTTGCTTTATCTAGTTCTCTGATTCCCATTCGACAAGTCAGAAGAGAGAGAGAATGGGTGATGGATAAAGGATAGAGATGCCGGCCGCCGTTGAGATCATGGTCATCTAGACTTCTTAGATATAAGAGCTGAGTTGTGTGAGCTGTAGAAGATTCAAGAAAGTTGCAGCAACAACTACAGCTACAACTATGAATAAGAAGAAGACGTAACTATGAGACCCTGAAACTAATTAATTACCACAATTCACAGATACACAATATAATTGCATTGTTAGTCTCTCCAATTTTAATACCAAAGTTTCAAAAGTTCACTATGTCAAAGCTGCATAAAGAAAACACCTTAATTAATGACGCGGAATTGAAACATTTAGAGACTCTTTCCAACTACTCGAGCATATATGGTAAGGGAGACTCATTCTTTTACATAAGAGCACCCAAGGGAATCAACACATCTCTTGAAGAGATCGATAATGGCCTTACTCGAGGAGTAGAAAACAGGGACTGAACAAGTCATATGTAGTGTCAGCTGCTTCTTTGGAGTGAAAAAGTAAATGGAAATTTTTCATGTCTCTATATGCCACCTTCATAATCTTAATACATATTTGGCGTATAGTGTACTTGGATCGTTGATTACTAGTCTGCCAATTTCTTAGGTGTATATTTTTTGTTTCACGCCATATTGTGGTTTGTCAAACTTTCTTAGTCATGTGCCTCCATTTAGTGACTGTTTTTTACCAAACCAAAAGTGTGGCAACCATTTTGTTCGCTGCACTTTTTTTATAGGCACACTTGTCTATCATTATTCGTGGCAAAAGTTAGGCGTCAAGCCAACCAAACATGTCATATGTCAATGAAACATGAACAAATTGAATGTACTATGGAAGTCGGACTAATGATGTCTTACAACTTGATTTCTTGCAGGATAGAGGATACTAGTTACTTTTTAGATAATAGAAAGAACATCCAGCTTCATCCTTGAAGAAGATGAATCAGACCACCTTATTATAGTAAATCACTCCATGACGACATGAACAAGTTTACAAAACATAATGGATCAAAACTCAATTATGCAAATAAAAGGACATGGACGACGCGAAGAAACGCATTGCCACGTTCTCCAGCTTGCAGCAAGCCTCTAACACCACCTCCTTATGTGCCTCACACCGCTGCAACTGGGTACAAAAACACGAAGCCAACCTAAGTTTCTTCACATTTAGGGAGATAAGGTCACCGGCCATATGGATTCATAACGTCAGCTAGGTTGACGACGGCTGCCAATAATACCACAGTTGCCCAGTCTTATGTACGTGACCTCGGAGAGAATCATGTCGGCGTCAAAACCAAGTCAGCATGGAGGAGTCTGATGGATTCCATGCATAGAGTCGTTGATAGAGATCGAGGCAGGTCCCATGCATTGCACAGCAAAGGCATATATAGCACAGCGGTGGCCTCCAGGACTAGTTCTTATCCGGTGTCGCCAGCATCTAGCATTACCAAAGCATGCCCCCCCGCACCCCCCCCCCCACCTCACCTCATCAGATATGGAGAGGTATGGGATGTCGTGCTCCGAAGTCGCCTTTTCTAATTTAATGTTTAGCTATCTGGCCATGAAGGTGGTATTTTGTATGGATAAGGAGCATCTGAGGGAGGGTAGGGATTCCAGGCAAAGTGGGTATCAAGAGATCTTATATGTGGCAGCTTGTAACTTGCTACTGAAAAGGGAGGAACCATGTAACACATGGGTGTTGACAATTACAGGCAGAAGTGGAGAAATTTCAAGAATCAATAACGGAAAGACATTCCCTGCTTGCTGCTTTGGTCAAATCACTTGTGTATGCAACAAGTAGGTGTCTAGATCATCGGTTAGGAAAAAACTATTCTTTTCAGCTGGTACGTACGGTTGTACTCAAGGAGAGATCTAATAAGTAGGTCAAACTGCAGGTATAACACTTAACTTTGATTTAATTTCCAGAAGAGCTCACTACGTGAAAAATGGTTTGTAGCAACGGAATAAATTTTTTGTAGGGACGGCTGGTGATAGAGCCGCCCCTACAGTGACGTGCTCAGAAGCCACTAGATCAGCTGCCCCTACAAATGGCACAGTAGGAGCGGCTAATAATACGAGCCGCCCCTATAAATAGGATCGATTTGTAGGGACGGCTCACTCAGCAGCCGCCCCAGTGTTACCAGCCGCCCCCACAAATCACTCCTACAACAAATATCTCCCACCTCTCGTCTGCCGCCCAGTCCCGTTCCCCTGATCCTTTCCCCCCCTCTCTCTCTCTCTCGTCCCCGCCATCGCCACCTCCCCTACACCTACGCCGCCGCCGCACCTCCCCTCTTCCTCTCCGCCGCCACCATCCCTCCCCATCCCCCAACCACGATAGCTCCATGGAGGCCGAGATCTAGGCACGGTCCCTCAACCTGTTCCCCTCCGGCGGCGTCGCCAGATCTGGTGAGGAGGAGGCCAGTCGGAGAGCGGGCGCTGGGCACGCCACTCGACGGATCTAGCTTGCATCGAGGTCCGCGGCAACGGTCCGGCGAGCGCGTGCGGAGGAAGATCCATGGAGCTCCCCTCCCCCGCCTGAGCGCAAGCCACGTCACCTCGTCTCCTCCATGCCACACACGCCGCGCTCACCCCCGCCTTCCCTTCCCTTCTCCGGCGACCCGGATCCCATGTCTACGGCGCCAGCGAGCTCCCCCGACGAGTCCTCTGCCTCCTGGAGCTCAGCACGCAGGTGGGTCTAGTGAGTTGTGCAGAGGGCCTGGATGTGCGTGTGCCCGCTGGCGTCGTGGGGGCAGATCCATGGAGCGGCTGCTGTCTCAGGTTTGGATTCCTGTCTCTAGATGAATTTCTCGTTCCTACAAGTCATGTCCTTGCAAGCTACACCTTCTAGGAATTTGCCGCAGTTTCGCTAAACTGGCTTGCCTACTCTCGATGATTCGTTTAGATTGTTCTCTATCAAGTGTCTACAGAGTAGTTTCATATTTTGATCACGTTTCTCCTTGTACAGAGGCATGCGTGTCACCAGTTCTCAAATGGGGAAAAGTTTGGATCAGGGACCTATTACAAATCTAGATAGATCTGTTACTTTGATTTTTAGTGTATGCTATATGTGCCTAGTTTAGCACCAGTATTGTTGCCTCTCGAATGTGAATATGTGTTATTTCAAGTAAAATACCTACTGTTTAGACCCTGAACCAATTCTGTTCATTGATCCATTCCTATCAATTTCATGTGTAAACAACTTAATTGGCTTTAACAACAATCATTCTTGGTATATATCTCTACCATTTTGGTTTAAGGTTTCAGGTCTAACTCTCATTGGTTCAGGAGATAAAAGGTCCTAAAGTTTGATAATTTTGATTCCTAACTCAGAGTTCAGATTCAGATTTTTGTTTCAGTAGTGTCTATTCTATGATCATTTTCTTCTGATTTATTTAGTATATAACTAATTCATTTGGGCTCGAGAAAATAGCTTACTGAATCATAGAATTTGGTGCACATGTGCACACACTCAAATGTTTTTCCAAATAACGGAATAAAAAAAAGTATCCCAGTTTGTGTCTATATTACCTGATTGTGTTGTATCCTTTTCTCCTTAAGATAGCCTGATGAGTTTTGTAGTGACATTTGTGTAGTACCTGCTCACAGGCAAAGACTTCTGATGTGCTCACAAACCATCCTATAGTGCTCATAGACTAAGAGTACATTCTTTTTAGATTCACATTCACATGCATTTTCTGGTTTTTTTAGAGTTCTAGGGGGGCCATGGTCCATTAGTATTACAATCAGAAATAGAAATTCCCTCTGACTACTTATAAACTAGCATATGAGTTTGCCACTTTGCTAGCATCTCAGCGGATTGCATATCGCTGGTTATCCTCCATCTCATCTTGGGCAGTGTCATCCTAGTGTAGTAATTTTATTTTGTGAGGAATGTTAAAAATGAGTCTTTGTGACTAAATCAGACTAGTACAGGGGACTTACAGATGCTGCACCACACCCATACAAGACTGACAGACAGAAACTCAAACCAGCCTGCAGGCGCCCCAGTCTTGGATTGCACCCGGAGGAGGAACTAGCTCCGGCTTCATCTTGAGATAACTCTGCATCATGTCCCATCACTTGCAACTTCTCCAGAGACACGTTCAGACCCACCATGTTCTTCAGGGAGGAAGCCACAGAGTTATAGAAGCCTTCCTCTTGATCTCCAGAACAATTCTTGACAGAGCATCCCTTTTGTTCTCCGGGCACAAATTAGCCAATTCTGTGCCATAAAAGCAATCTTGTTCAGCAGGATATCCATCCCTTTCCGGCCTACATTCTGAAAATAAAGGTCATCTCTTAGCTTCCATAAGCTCCAAAGAGCAGCACAGGTGACTAAGTTCAACACTACATACCTGATAACCTATTTCTGTAGTTGATTTTGTCTTCTAACTTAGAGTAAGAATTTGACGGTAGGATTTTGATTTAGAAAGGATTCAATATGCCCATCTCACATCACTGTCAAGGTTCACAAAAAATTGTTCCTACGGCATATATTGATATTTAAATGTAACTACGCGTTGTAATGCATATGCACCTGTATCTAGGTTGCTTCAAAA